CTCCTTTCAGTCATAACTTTGTCCATTGATTGCGCGCAACAAAGCGAATCTTAAATATTTTCTTGCCATTTCTTTCCCTTTAACCTTTTGAAGTAAGCACTCTTGATATTAATATTTTATAAGATGTCAATCGGAGACTCTTTGCCTTAGATTTTATTGCTACTAAGTATTTATCATTGGGCGAGCTGTTTAATAACTGCAATAACAAGAATTCTTGTCCCTTTTCAATTGATTCTTTCCTATTCATTTACGAATTGAGAATTGAATTGCAGCATTCATTTTGGGAAATACATAATCTATTTATCATTGTATTTATCAGAGTCACGCATTATATCAATCAACTATTGGTAATTAATGCAATTAAAATTAAAATAACAAGCTAGTACGAATATTTAATACCCTTGAAATAGCCTTTCTATGGCAGCTCTAAACGCGCTGATAAAAAGTATAAAAAGTTATTCAGCTGGCACAAAGTTTGAACTTTCGCGAAGATAAGTTTCTAACAAATCAAAGTATAGGGTATGTTCGCGTCGACTCGCTATCAAAGTGGCCAATATCTAGCGATTGATGTGTCGTCTCGGGGAATTTGATGCGCTTCAGTTTTAATGCCTTTCGCACAGAGACGACGCATTCATGCAGCACGCGGCATGCAACATGAGGCACGCGTCTCTGGAATTTGTTGCAAGCTTCTAAAAAAAAAATGTGCTGACAATCGGCATACATTTTCGGTATGACAACTGTGAATGCAATTGTAAAATGCAACAATTTTTAATGCGCTTGCAACTTTTATTTCGAGTCTTAATGCAGAAAGTTGTGTGTGTTTGTGCGGGTGTGTGTGTGTGTGTGTGTGGCAATTTTCCTTGGCATTTTTTCTTGTTCTTTGTCGCAGCTTCTTCCACGTTTGCAACTGCAACATTTCCTGTTTGCACTGCCATGATTTGCAGTCATTGCCCCACTCAGCTCCCTTCCTGCCACCAACCCCAACCCCCTTGTCAGCATGCCCCTGCCCCTGCCCCTGCCCCTGTCCCTGTCACTGGCCCTGTCAGCGGCACTCGCATGTGAATGGACGTGTGAGTTGCCTGGAGAAATGTCTACGTCTGCTGCAACTTTTTCTTCATCTTGTTCTGCAACTGCTGGCTCGCAATTCTCTACCTCATCTGGCTGTCTGCCTGCCTTTCATGCAAAAATATGCAATTTTATCGGTCTTTACAGATTTGCCATAAAAAAAACGCCAGTAAAAAGAAAAAGAAAAATTACAGAGCTGAGTTTGAAAATGCCGTGGCTTAGGGCCTGGAGAAGCTCGTGGCATGAAAGACGTTTGCCAAGCAAAAATGTAAATATTTATCATGCCGGAAACATGCGTTGCCTCAGCTACGTCTACTTCAATTTGTACTTGCTACAAGCCAACTTCATCCCTCTCTCCCCTCCCCCTTCCCCCACCCTCTTGAAATGTGTGTGCTATGCTTAAGTCCATGCGTGCTGCTGCTGGAGCAGAGCGTTGCAGCCAAATGCCATTTTAAGCTTTTAGTTAATTTAAAAGTTGAAATTTATTTGAAATCCCAACATTTTGTTACTGCCTGTCCCGAAAAACTGGTGGCTTCCGAGCCAAAGCCAACGCGTTCTCATGACTCACACCATAACGGAATTACGAGTAAGTGAACTAAAGCCAGAATGGGCAGAGTAAAAAAGAAATCAAGAGTGCTCGACTGGCCGATACCCTGCATGAGATGAACAAACTTGACGAAATGAGGTTTTGATATTAATTAGGGGAAAATATGACATAAGCAAAGCTTGATATACCTAGCAAATCTTTAATAAACTCTTACATATATTAAAATAATTAAGTTTAAATTTAAATAAGAAGTGAATGCCTGCTTCTCAGCCAGAGATAGTTCAGACACACACAGGCATATTTAATTTAATTTAATTGAATTTGTTTGTAATTGTTAATCAACATCTCTGATAACCCTTTTTACACACTTCTACAGGGTATACGCATATTTTTCGTTAAAAACGTGCCGACATTTCGGTTGTCAACACACACAAACACACCCGTAAAGAAATGAAAGAAATGAAGCTGGTCATGGGAATACTTAGTAGATGGTAGATGGATGCTGTTGTGGGTTCGGCTCCTCATAGTTAAACTTTAGTTTTATAGCTGCAATTTAGAGAAATTGTGCGATTGTCGTTCCGGCTGCGGCTGCGACTCTGTCCGACTCCGTCCGACCTCGTCCGACTCCGCCTCTATGTCTGTGTCAGCAAACCGTCGGCAATCGTTACAGATTTCAGTCAATTGTTTTGGCTCAGATATATGCGATTTAAACGAGTCTGTTTAGACCGAAAGATAAATTACACAACTCGTCATGTGTGTCTGGGCACGGAGACCAAGTACGAGCGAGCATTGTTAATGAGCTCCGAGCAGCTGAGCAGCTTAGTCGACATGTTTTCTTTTAGGGTTTCGTTTTTGGTATTCTTGTTTTGCCAAGGACTAAGCTCTTCATGTTTCACAGATTTACATGTTCAACCACAACAAAGAATATTTCACATCAACATTTGCAGGTACTTTATGCCTATTGCATTTACCTGTGGGTAACCTCTTGTGTGCTGTCGGCAATTTAATGAGCTGGCCATGTCGCTGTTCGGGAACTTAAACTTTTAATTAACGCAAAGTAATTAGTTCAAGTCTGTAGAACATTTAACAAGTTGCGAGCAATAAATGAAATGCTTCAGTAAGTATTTTATTTTTAATTTAAATATTATAATTAGTTTGCAACGTATTTATTTGCGAATGTGAGCCAAAGTTTTAGGCGGAAAACGTAGGATCTGACATCTTTTGGCTTGTCCCTAAAACTATATATAAAATGCTTCTTCGTCTTAAATATAGTTAATTCCCTTGAGAATACATTTCTTAAGCTAGTCTTATATTGCATATTGAAAAGGATCTGGAAACATTTATAAGTCTGTTTCTAGTTTCCTGCTTCAAGCTGCGTATATAAAAACACTTTAATACTTTCAAAAGAGTTCCCTTTATGGTAAATATGAATATTAATATTTTGATATGCGTTAGCCCATATGAAAAGGGATAGAGCAAGGCCTAGGAAAACGTAGAGAAATATCATAGGCAACCTTTTAATGCACCGAATCTGCATATTTGCCCACTTATTTGTCTATTCATGAAATTTCAAAAACAACGAGTTCATCAAGTTCGCCAGGATCAATATTGTTGCCTTCGTGCTTTAGGCAAGGATTCACACAAAATCAAAAGAAATTTGTAAATATATTTTTACATATGGGCGTTTGAGGTGCGCCCAATTGAGGCTCTTATCCAGGAGAATCAAAGAAAAAATTCAAATCATTTTCTATATGTGGCTTGAATATTGGATGAAACACTTTTTTATATATAAAGAGATATGTGCAAGGATTTTAAATAAAACAAGTCAGTGCTAATAATAAGACATGTGACATCTTCTTTAGTTTTATTTATTACAAATTCTTTAAAAAATGTCTTTAAAATTTGTTGCATATAATTTTATGACTCAGAGAAAGAATTCTCTTTTTGTTGTACTTTGTTTTTATGTTATTGTAAGAGTACTTTAGGAAATTGAAAGCAAACAAAAGCTGGCAAATATTTAAGAATATATGACAAGTGCAATTCATTTGAATTTTGTTAAAAATAATTTTCATATGAAAACATTTGAGTTTATTTTCTTTGATGAAAAACTTTGTCAACATTTTCCTGGAAATGTCTAAGCACACGCTTATCAATTTGTCGCTTGAATGTTGCCAACTTGTTTTCTTTTTTTTGTATTTTTAAAGTGCGGCAACGCTCTGCAATCAATTTGAAAATGTTGCATAATTAGTTGAGTTTGGGAATTTGCAAAATGAATTATTAATTGCAATATTTGCATGCAGATCTCTGGGCAAAACTATGTAAAATTTTGGTAAAGTTGAGCTGAGTTTGATTTAATTTCATTTGAAGTCAGTCCGAAAGTTCCAAAATATTATTCTGTGTATTTTCATTAAGTTAAGTAATATGTTAACCATAAAGAATGTCACGATATTAAAAATTCACATTTGCTATTGGGCAAAATCTGTAAATAAAGCTTCAAGTCTGCCATACATTCGAAAGAATCCCATGGCTATACAAAAATTGAAGAAATAAAAAGCTAAAAATTAAACGATTTTTCCGATCGTTAAGATAATAAACTTGAGGGAAAACTCTGGAGCTTGGCAAAAGCCAAACGTGAAAGTGTTTTTTTATTTTTCAAGCGTGTTATCTTTGGCCCATTGAATGCAGTTCATTTGCAGCTGTATAATGCAGTTGAGTGTAGCATATTGGTTGTGTTATGTGGCATGCGCCACGTGTGTGCAACGCTTGATAAACCGTTTTGGGGCAAGCTGCAAACTGCAAGCTGGCAGCTGGCAGCAGGCAGCCTGCGCATTTAAAATGGCGCATAAAAGCCAGGTCAGATGGGGTGTGCAGGGAGGGAGGCCAGTTAGTACCTGGCCGCAGGTGGGGTCCGGGTTGGGCTGTGAATTGAGTTCAGTTCGCATTCATGGCACACGGGCCGACGCTGTGGCCAAGGCTATTTAAGGATGCCACGCTCTGATGCGTTGCACAGTTAAGATTCGAACTGGCCAGCGTAAAGGTGCGACTCGGGCACAGGCCATAAAAAAAAAAACACAAGCATACGGACGCAAAGCCAAAACGGATACTTAAGATTTACGTTTATTTTCTGTTCAACTACTTGCAGAACCGAGCGAAGGAGGCGCCGGAGCAACAGGATTCGATACGAGGCGAGGCGCAAGTGTCGCAGTGCGGCGGCGGCCGAGCGAGTTTAGTGTATAATATTTGAAATCAAAGCGAAAGGGTATCGGCATGTCGGCGCTGCTCCATCTAAATCACAAGCTCAATATGCGCACCACCGCTGTCAAAATGAAGATGCCGCCAGCCAGACGGAGCGACGGCAGTTCCAGACCGGAAACAGTCGCGAGCGCAGCCAATTGATGACAATTTCAAGAAGAGCCAAACAAACTAAGCTAATCCAATCGCATTTTCTACGTATTTACTGTTACGTTTTCATCGCTTCCTTGATGAGCTACATTAGAGCTATTTGTGCAGCAGCTGCGGAAATGAAAATCCGCAGCAGCAGCAGCAGCAGCAGCAGCCGCAGCAGCAGCAGCCGAGGCATTTGCATTATAAGACTGATAACATTAAAGAGATTTCTACAGATTTTGGCAATGCCAACACACACGCAGCAGCGGCAACAGGAGCAACAGCAGGAGCAGCGTGAGCAACAGCAATCAGCGCAGAGGAAACGCCATTTATGGCACACGCAGCCCGCATCCTGTTGGCAGCATCAGAGCAGCAGGAACAGCAACAGCAACATCCACAGCAGCTGGCTTTTGTTGCTGCTGCTGTTATCCTCGCTGTGGCCGGACTGCGAGTGCCTGCACGGCGCCAAGCTGAGCCCCAGCACGGTGAAGACCAAGTATGGCCTGCTGCGCGGCATTGTGGTGCGCTCCACGCCGCTGGTGGAGGCATTTCTTGGCATACCGTATGCATCGCCGCCTGTGGGCAGTCTCAGGTGAGTGCTTAGCCAAAGATAATGCGGGCTAACCACCCGCTGTGTGTGTGTGTGCGTGCTTCTGTGTGTGTCTGTGTGATCCCTGCCTGCAATTGCTGTCTGTGTAAAACTCTTTTATACCCTGTACTCATTGAAAATGGGTGTAGAGCTTATAAAATACATATGTTCTTATACTTGATCAATTTGACGTGCTGAATGTTCGTCCTTTCTGTATATTAAACACGGAAAAAGTTTTCAATTGTTTCGATTAATACTCTTATTTCCCACATATCGATAAATATCGATTTCGGAACAAGTTTTTCAAGCTTTTTCGAAGCTTATAAGTGCCACAGACAACCAATTACTATGTAAGCTATCCTATAATGACACAGATCCCAAAGATTTAACTAGCTGGATACCTCTCTCTCTCTTTAGCCTAAAATGCCGAAGAAAACATACAGTCTTCAGGTTTTGTCTAGGTCTTGGGTATGATGCCGTATTTATGCCCTGAGAGTCGATATGAAAATAAACAACGAAGTTCTTAAAGAACGCACTTCATTGGCTAAGGGGTATCTTCTAGTCAGGCACTGTTTTTTTCGGTCTTTCCCTACGTTTCGCCCAACGCAGCGTGACTTTATCAGGCTCCTGCGCCAGGCAAAAGCAATTTTAATAATTATTTTGATAATATATGTATGTATATACGTGAGCACGGGCACAAAGTACGTCCGAAACTTTGCACATTCATGTAATGCGGCACCAGCAGCCTTAGCCAGCTTCCGGGTCTCCACATTGTTTGCCAGATTAAAGTGCCAAGGTCTTGGCCCGGCCAATAGCCAAAAGGGCTCCTAATGAAGCTAACTCTATCTCGCGTTTATTTTACAATTAGCAGTTGGCAGCCTTTTAATATTTATTTTGCAAGACAATGCGGCGAAACGTCGTTTAATCAGCTTAGAGCCGGTAAACGAGCTCATTTATATCAATATTTGCAGATGCTGAGCTTAGAAACTAACTAAGCCAACTAAATAGCACAGCTATGCCACAAATGTTAAGCTGCTAACATTCTGTTTAAGATTAACAGTTTTCCCTAACTCAACTAAATAGCACAGTTATGCCACATTTGCTTAGCTCTCTTTAACATTCTGCTATTAACAGTGCCCTGTTAAACAACAGCAATCACATTCGAATATATGTTTTATTATCATTATATTACATTACTATTTAAATATGTATGTACTGAGCTTAGAAACTAACTAAGCCAACTAAATAGCACAGCTATGCCACAAATGTTAAGCTGCTAACATTCTGGCATTATTAGTTTTCCCCAACTGAACTAAATAGCACAGTTATGCCACATTTGTTGAGCTCTCTTTAACATTCTGCTATTAGCAGTGCCCTGTCAAACAACAGCAAACACATTCAAAAATATGTTTTATTATCATTTCTTAGAGTAAGTTTTGCCTCTGCAAACTTATAAAACGAGCTGAAATAGTTTTTTGCTGATTTAAAGTTATGTTCACTAAAACATTTAACATACATAATATGACTCGAAACCGACAGCAGGCATCGGCAAAACTTCAAAGTTTTTGCATGAAAACTTTGTTTTAGTTTCCACAAAAATAATCTCTGTACACGTTTAAATTCAAATTAATCTAATTTAGCACAAGTTTCTAGTTATATTTTTAGATCATTTGATAACCGATTATTGTACTATATAAATGTGCGTTATATTTATGCGGCCACAGAAACTTGATAAGATGCTTTCTATAATCTATAATATTTCTAATTTATTTTGACTGAAACAAATTTATTCTTTTGAGATTATAAACAGATTTATGTTTATTCGACTTGTTTGTTATATGTTTATTCACGCTTAAATCTTAAAAGAAGCTGGGAGTAATTTTTATTTTGAAAAATGATAGCTTCTCACTTAATATAAGCACGAATCTGTGTAGACCTGAAATTAGATTTCTCGCTGAAGGCTTAATGCAAAAGGAAAGAAATAAAACTAGAATGTATTCTATATGTTGCCGGGCCAATTATTTCCTGATTCTGTTGAAACGAGTTTGGTTTGTTTTTTACACTCTTTTTGATTAGTAACTTTGGCGACAGACACTGATTTGTTTAGACGCAATGATTAATTAGCTTTCGCCTGCTACCCGGCAAATTGACAATTTTTCAAATATCACGTTTATTTGGACCCCCCCCCCCCTCCGAGTCCCCCATCCTCTAGCCAATTGTCATTGGAGCATGAATAATTTTCACACAGACATCCAGGGCCAGATGTGCGTGTGTCTGGTGGCAAATCAGACCGAAATTCAGTGGCATTTGATTAAGTCCTGTTGCTCAGCTCATTTGTGGCATCTGTTGATGCTGCATAACAATGAGGCAACATTCATAAGCGGACTTCATTGACTTTTGGACTTTGTGCAGAAAGTAATTAAAGAACAATTTGCCAGAGATTGCCAGCAAGAGACGGGGCGGAGCAACATTGTACAGCATCTACCACACACTTGTTGTGCTTGTTTGACACACATAAGCTTCAGTATAACTATTGCCTAGATACAGGACGCAAAGGACACAGAGGACATGTGCATAAGTGACAAAGTGTTGCAAAACTTTTGCAATATGCCGCAAACTTTGCTTTCGATTTGTGCCGAAGCGCAGCTACTTGCAACACGCTGAAATGTCGCTGCTCTAGCAACATTTTGTTGAGATCTTTCATCGAACTTTGTGCGAATCGACGACGGACTGGCCAGAGAGAAAGAGAGCGAGAGAGAGAGAGAGAGAGAGAGAGAGATAGGGAGAGAGAGAGAGCGAGCTGGAAAACTATTGAAGAACTAAGTTGGGGAACTGAAAGAAAGTCATGATTACAATTACCAGAACAAACACCGTGCAACATCGTTAATGCCAATATTTGTTCAAAACTTGGTTTCAGCGAATATATATATGTGTATATAAATATATACATTTTCAGGTACTCGAAAATGTCGTTAAAGTTCCAAATTCGTAAATCGTATTACGCAAACTTTATCCATCAACTTATAAATTTTAACACTAGCTGCACAAAATTTCGGTGAATAACAAACAAATTAAAAAGTAATTAAATATGATATTTCTATATACCCCGTAGTTAGGCAATGACGAATGTAGGGTAGTTTAAGACTAAGCGAATTATGTGTTAATAATTAAACTCTTGACTTTGATTTCTCAAAAATGCAATTCATAAATATCTTCAGCGGCAGCTAAGCCCATATGTTAATTTAAAAAGCAATAAGTATTAATTATTTTAGCAAACATAAATCAAAATTATTAGATTTCGCTTAAACTGAACTCTTATGTGTGAGAAATACATATCTACAAAACAAGAAGAAAGTTTGTTATACATTAGCTTAAGTTTTGATTGACCAAGAACAGATATACCTATGGGCATAGGAGATACTTCGTTTTGTACCTTACAAATTGAAAGATAGGAATATAATAAACTCTTGAAATATTAACAAATGTTTAAGTGAATATGTAACTAACTATTGGCTCTGATAAATTGCTTGATTTAACGATTTCAATACAGGGTATTTGTGGAACTTTCGTTCATTTATTTATTTCCTTTCGCTGCAGGCATGCTTACTTGTTCGAATGGGTACAGGGTATTTGTAGAACATTCATTTATTTAGCGCTTGTTAAGACGTTTCCTTTTTCTACAGGCACGGGTACAGGGTATTTGTAGAACTTACGTTCATTTATTTATTTCCTTTTGCTGCAGGCATGCCCACTTGTTCGAATGGGTACAGGGTATTTGTAGAACATTCATTTATTTAGCGCTTGTTAAGACGTTGCGAAGCCAACAAAATGCGTCGTTTAATTTGAAAGCATTTGGGCTTTCATTCATTCAGCACGCCGTGCTGGGAAACCCGGAACCGCAAAATGTGCCAACTGATTACGAAATGGCGAAAACTGGCAAAAAGGGAATTGTAGCTGGAGAAAAAGTAAAAAAATTATGCGCTTTATTGTCTCATCAGGCAACAAAATGCTAACATTTTCCATTGTATTCTCTTTTCTTCTTTTTTTTTTTTGCCTGAGATGCTGTCGGATGAGTTGTGGGTGGTGAAGGGTAAGGGTAAGGGGAAGGGGCTGGGGCAGGAACAATAAAAACGTTTCGCGTGAATTGTTGTGTCATAAAATCAACATTGAAGCCTTCGCCGTGGCCAGCAACTCGTCTGCCTGATCGATGGCATTCAACGCAAAACAATAAAATGCACAATTAATCAAAAACAGTTGCCAATTTTGATTGATGGGGCTTAGTACTTAGTTTGGCTGCGCTTCACGTTAGCCAATGAATCCTTTACGTTATCACACACAAGCACACACACACACGCACACAAAGCGGAAATAAATGGGGGATAGTTTGTTGCCATTAGCATTACCATGCGCCGCATATACCCTACATATATTTATACTGCGTACATATTGGGGCCCATTACATTGACTTGCAGATTTATGCCACCCATAACGCCATCGACGTGGAAAACGGCCCGCAACGCCGATCGATTCTCGCCCGTTTGTCCACAGAATGTGCCCATACCGCCCAATGGACCGGAGGCCCTGCTGGAGGTGCCGCGCGCCCGTCTCGCCCAGCTGCGGCGCCTGCTGCCGCTGCTCAAGAACCAATCGGAAGACTGCTTATACCTTAATATCTATGTGCCCTACGAGACGCAGCGACCCAGACGTAAGTTAAGCAACAACTCAAATAACTTACAAAGTTAGTAGATTAAGTTGAGAAATTACCCGGCATCGCACGGGTCGTGACCACGCTAGGCAGATGCAAAGCGTCTCATGAAAAATATAGACTCTCTCTCTTAACAATTAGGGAAAAGCTTACGATAAAGAATTCAATAAAATTGCCAGTTTAATTGATAATGAAAGTGAAACAGCTCTGGGCTAGTGCAGAATGAAATATACCTTTTTTACAAACAGTTCGAATGATAATGGGGATGATGGCAGCGAAACTCTCAATTCCGTAGTGCATTGCAGTTGATTTAAGGAATAATTGCAAGCGCTGCAGAATTGGCAGCTCCGTTGGCCGCAGACAACATATGGAATCGCAGCTCATCGGATGAACATGGAAGATATAGATATATATAACATAAATTCCAATTAAAATCTGTTTCTCTTTTAGCGGTTGTCAACGCCAGTTCGAGTACCAGTTCCAGTTCCAGTTCCGGCGCCGGTTCCGATGCGATGCTGTCCACTGTGGTGTTCATACACGGCGAATCCTTCGAGTGGAACTCGGGCAATCCCTACGATGGCTCCGAACTGGCCGCCCATGGCAACGTCATCGTTGTGACAATCAATTTTCGGCTCGGCATCTTCGGTTTCCTCAAGACCGGCGGCAAGGAGAGCGCCCAGGGCAATTTCGGTCTAATGGATCTGGTCGCCGGCCTGCACTGGCTCAAGGAGAATCTGCCCGCCTTTGGCGG